CACAATCAATAAGAGTGCATCTAAATTCCAAAATCAATCTCCATAATAGTCTATGTGTTTCCTACTGCCAAAGGGGCCCTTTAGAGTAGTGAGAGAAGATCTTCACCCTGAAACCCACAGCATCCCTTTTCAGCAGGAAGTAGCTAAGAGAATATGCCATCCCCTTTTCCTTATGACTCAGGGTGAAGTCTCTCTCAGGGAGGAGTGATAGGGAATGGCAAAGGACACACTGACAAAGAAGATTAATCAGAACTGGCTTTGACAAGCACTGTGGCAATTGGACAAGAACAAACTGGGAGGAGGGTAGAGAGAATAGTGCAACAATGAATGAATGGAAACCCAAAATCTCTGTAAATGTTTATGAAAATTAATAAAATATAATTATAGGAAAAAAATTCCAGTTTTCCTGGATGCATATACTTCATACATTCCAGGTTCCAATTATTAATGGATGTTTGACGTAGTTTCTCCTCATTTTGAAGCTTACCACATCAGCTCACAAAGGTCCTCCATTAAACAAAAGCTTTCCTGCATCTGTGTCATTAACTCTGCTTGAGAAGGCAGCTCTTTCCCTGTTAATTGTTGAGTGATTGCTAAACTGTAGGGCTCATCTTACAGCATTATGCCCAACAGTGTTTTGGCATTTGTCATAGTGTTTTCAAGGCCTTTCATTTTAGAAGTGTATGGCGGTCCTGCTTCTTAGTCTGAGTATGGAAGCTTTATCATCTAAAATCTGTCCACCATGGGTGACTCTGCTAATATTTGAAATGCTGATAGCACAGCTTCCAGCATCACAGCTGGAAAGCCACGTCAGTACGGCAAACTGACAAATACATTAATTTAACAGAAACAACATAAAATCCTGTATCTATGTTGCATACGTTGTGTGTTGCTTTATTTCACATTAATATATACTTTTCTGATTATCATAACTTTGTTATTTAAAACTGAATTCAGTGATCCAGAGGACAAGCACTTCTCAGTCCAGAAAGTGTCAACCTGAACACCATTTCCCTTGAGGTCTAGTCAATCTAACCTTGGAACAAAACGAAATAGTTCTTGGTTTATGAATTAACTTTTTCTCCACTGCTCTTTTGTTGTCTTTGTTGTGTGTGTTCGAGTCAAAACGAACTCAAGCTGACCCTCCAGTGGGATTTCAGAGGCAGTTAATGGCACGGGAGGAGATTGTCTATCCTTCTTCTATGGGGCAGCTAGTGGATTTGAATTGCATGCCTTTGGGATTGCAACACAGCTTCTTACCATTAAGCTACCAAAGCCCCCTATCAACAACTCTAGGAAGCTTCAATACAGATTGAGCCTTTTAAAGCATGAAATGGAAAAAAAGGGTTATCATAATTTGTATTGCTTACACATTTGTTACCTTTGGGTCAGAATCAATTCATAGCTGACCCTCTCTTAGATTTTGGAAGATGCAGATTGTGTAAGAGAAGATTGCTTATCTTTCTCATCCAGAGCAATTGGTGCATTTCAACCACATTACAGGTGCTGAGTTTAGGTTAGCAGAGCAAACTTGCTATGGACTAGGGTAGACCCTCAGAGCTCTCTTTAAATGAAATTAAAGAAGTGCATATATTCATTATAAATGAAAAGTGCATATTACAAATTACATTTCCTAGAAAATCTAAAAAGTATGTTAAAAATAATATTGTTGCTGTTGTTAGACGTCTTTGAGTCAAACACTACTCATAGCAACCCTATGAACAATAGTTCTGAATTCAGCCCTATCCTGAGCTTTTATCAACATCTTTAGCCTATCTGACCCTATTCCCACAGTCATTGTGTCAATCCATCTCACTCAGGGTGTTCCCCTCCCACATTACCTCTCTACCAGTCCAGGCATGATGTCCTCCCCAAGGACTGGCCCTCGCTGACAACATGCCCAAAATATGTGAGACAAAATCCTTGCCTCCAACAAGTAACCTGGTTTCACTCTCTCCAGGACAGACCTGTTTGTTCTCCTGACAGTTCATGGTTTTCCTCATACAGTGCTCTTCTCTACCACTACAACTCCAAGAAATCAATTCTTCTTCTGTTATCCTCAGTCATTGTCCAGCTCTCAGATGCATAGCAAGCAATTGAGAAGACCATGGCCTGGATCAAGCACACCTTAGTCTCTAGACAGCATCACTGCTCTTTAGCACTCTGGAGAAGTTCTTGACAGCACACTTTGCTAAAATAACTTGTCTTTTGATTTTCTGACTGCTGGTGCCAGAAGTGTTAATTGTGTACCTGGACAAGATGAAATTGTTAATAACCTTAATCTTTCTCTATTTACCATGATGCTGCAATGGGCCCTGGTGATGAGAATCTTTGTTTTCCTGGCATTGAGATGCAATTCATATTGAAGACTGTACTCCTTGACCTACTGCAGCAAATGCTTCAAGTTCTCTTCCGTTTCAGCTAGCAAGGTAGTGTAATCTGCATAACACAGATTCTTTATGAATCTTCCTTCAATTCTGATGTTACACTCTTCATAACGTCCAGCCTCTCTCCCAAATGATGTTTTGCATATACATTGAAAAGATATAAAAAACATGCCTGACACACTTCTTTCTTGATTTTGTTTTTTGTTTTTTTTGGTTTTTTTCTTCTCTTTTTTTTTTCTATAATTATATTTTATTAATTTTCATAAACATTTACAGAGATTTTGGGCTTCCACTCATTCATTGTTGCACTATTCTCTCTACCCTCCTCCCAGTTTGTTCTTGTCCAAATGCCACAGTGCTTGTCAAAGCCAGTTCTGATTAATCTTCTTTGTCAGTGTATCCTTTGCCATTCCCTATCACTCCTCCCTGAGAGAGACTTCACCCTGAGTCATAAGGAAAAGGGGACGGCGCATTCTCTTAGCTACTTCCTGCTGAAAAGGGACGCTGTGGGTTTCAGGGTGAAGATCTTCTCTCACTACTCTAAAGGGCCCCTTTGGCAGTAGGAAACACATAGACTATTATGGAGATTGATTTTGGAATTCAGATGCACTCTTATTGATTGTGCTTGGCTGTACATGTACATATCCTTCAAGATGTATCATGGGGGTGTTGCAACCTAGAAGACACAAATTTGACTAACAAGTTATAAGTACATGAGTCAAAAATTATGGAAAAGTAAAAGAAAAGATTCTTTCATTGTTTTACAAACCCTCCCCCAGGTCCCCTCCACCATGCAGCCCTCGCTCTAGTCTCCTGTGATGACAGAAATACCCAGTTACATCTCTCTTTTAGACGATTCTCTCCCTCCTCTGCTTCAGTGCAGTATACATTATTGAACCCATCTTACTCAGTGTCTCCCCAACCCCAAGGACAGTCCCATTCTACAACAGTGGCATCATGTAATCTTTCTTGATTTTGAACCATGCAGTACTTCCTTGTTTTGTTTGAACAACAGCTTTCTCTATTTTAGCATGCTTTTAAGGTTTCACATAAGCACAATCAATAAAAACATAATTTTTGCTGATATGTTATATGATAATTATATGATTATATTATATGATAATCTTCTTGAGTAATTATATGATAATATTCTTGAGTAATTAACTCTGTTTTGTTTTAATAATAAATAAGTTAATACATTTGATAATAGTTCTGACAAGTCTGAAAAGAAGAATCCTCCCAAGTAAAATATTTTAAAGTATATTTAAGGAAAAAATGATAAATTTGTCTTAGGAAAAACAAAATCATTGTCTTTGGAAGTATCTAGGCAAAATTTTCCATATGTAAATAGATGTCTCATTTGCAAAGACTTTATTTTTCTTTTTTTAACTTTCTAATAACAATATTTCTGCAATTATGTTTTGTGGTATGAAAATCATTTTACAATCTTTTGGTCATTTGCTCATATTAATTTAAGATGATAAAGAGTTACTCAAAAGTTCAAAACTTGCTTTTTGCAGAAAAAAGATATTCAAGTCTACCAGTGAGTGTGTTTGTTTGATGTCATTTAGAAAGTTAATAAAAGGATTTTAAATAAAATTCATAATTAGAACAGGAATTGTATGAGAGTTTAAAACCCGAAACACTTGACTTGTGGAAGGCTAAAGGCTATTGTACAATTTTAGCTCCATTGTGATTCTTGGCATGGACTTTGATATCATTTGAACTTCTTCAGCATCTGAACCTGTCATGTGACTTTGGGTTCTAATCACAGCAGCAAAAACAGCTTGAAGAAGAGCTATTACTTGCTTTTATTGTTGTTGTGTACCATTGAGTGGTAAGCTTACCCTTCAGAGAGGATATTCAAAGGCAGTTAATCACAGGGGAAGAGACTGCCCATTCTTCTCCCATGGAGCAACTGCGTGCCTTTGGGATTGCAGCACAGCTTCTTGCCACTTGGCCACCAGTGCTCCCTAGCTATTACTTACCAAGCCATTTTATTAATGATTCCCCTAACTCTGATTTCTGACATCACATAGTCAGACAGTATGTGAATACCACAGAATCAACCCTGTAAGCTTTTAATTTGAAATCATGTATGTAGCCTACGTGGTCTTTCTCCCACAACATTAAACCATTATTCAATAAAGAGGTAGCCGTTATTTGGTACAACTCTGTTAATAAGTTTGTTGATGGATTTCCCCATTCCTGAAATAATTTATCACTTTGCTCTGTTTATATTTTAATGTTGTGTTGTTGTTGTGTACCATTGAGTCAGAACCTGCCTTTCCTGCATGTTTTCAGAGTCAGTTAATCATACCTGAGGAGAAGGCCTATTTTTCTCCCATGGAGAAGCTGATGAATTCAAACACTGTGCCTGTGGGATTACAGCACAGCTTCTTGCCACTAGGCCAGCAAAGCTTCCATTATATATTAATAAAATAATGAATATAGTTTATTTTCAAAATGTAAGTTATTAATATCCCTTGGAACAATTCTCAAGTTTCTGTACTCAGTTTTCTATAAATGGGTGGTCTGTGCACAATCCTGTTTACCATTTTTAAATTTTTTTCTTTTGCCACTTCCTACTGCAGATGAAATAAACTGATAACAATGGCACAAAATAATAAAAGTCATCCAGAAGAGTTTGTTCTGCTAGGCTTCGCTAACTATCCCTGGTTGGAGCTTCCTCTGTTTGGTGTTCTTCTGATCACATACCCTACAGCCATGATGGGAAACATTGCCATCATACTAGTGTCCACATTGGACCCCAAACTTCACAGCCCCATGTATTTCTTCCTCACCAACCTCTCCTTTTTGGACATGTGTTATACCACAACCACTGTCCCTCATATGCTGGTTAACCTGGGAAGCTCCAAGAAGACAATCAGCTATTTGGGCTGCGCAGTTCAGCTTTATTTTTTCCACTTGATGGGTGGCACAGAATGTCTACTCTTGGCTCTCATGTCCTTTGATCGCTATATAGCTATCTGCAGACCTCTACACTACACCATCATTATGAATCAGAGAACTTGTTTCCTACTAGTATCCATTATGTGGCTGAGTGCAATGACTATTGCTGTCTCACAGGTTACTCCTACATTACTGTTGCCCCTCTGTGGGAACAACAAGCTGGATCACTTGTTATGTGAGATTCCTGTTCTGATAAATATCTCTTGTGGTGAAAAGCACGTTAATGAGCTTGTGCTCTCTGTGGTATGTACTTTTCTGATAGCTATTCCACTCTGCTTAATCCTTGCATCCTATGCTTGCATTGGGAAAGCTGTATTGAAAATTAAGTCTTCTAAGGGAAGAAAAAAGGCTTTTGGGACATGTTCTTCCCACCTCATTGTTGTTCTCTTATTTTATGGCCCAGCCATTAGCATGTACCTTCAGCCTTCCTCTTCCATCACAAGGGACCAACCCAAGTTCATGGCTCTCTTTTATGGAGTAGTAACACCTACACTCAACCCCTTCATCTACACCCTTAGGAATAAGGATGTGAAAGGGTCTTTAGGCAACCTGATGAGGAATATTTTAGGTTCCAAATGAAAAAAGGTAGATATTAAATGAAAATATTTAACAGTTTATATCACTATTGTCCCTTTGGTTCCAATTCATAGCAATACTTCATAAAGTTTCAAAGGCAATAAATTACAAGGGAAGAGACTGCTCATATTTCCTTCAGAGATGCTAATAAATTCAAACTGCCAGAGTCATGCAGCCTTGAACTAGCAGCAGAACTTGCTGAAAACTACACCATCACTCATTCTTTCACTGACCTACCAGCAAGTTTTCAAATGCTGTAAATAAGATAAGATGAGATTGTCCATCTTTCTTCAGCAGAACAGTTGGTGGATTCAAACTGCCTGCCTGCGGGTTGGCAGCACTACTTCTTACCTTTCTCTAAAAAAAAAAAAAAAAAAAGCTAGAATTCGTTGTCATGGAGTAGAAACCCACTCATTACTGATCCCATACTAGGCTTTTGAGTTTGTTAATAGCACACAAAGTGAAGATTCCCCATCTTTTCCAAAGGAATCACTGGTGGATTTGAACTGCCAGAGAAGCACTGTCTTTAGGTGGGGGAAAACAAATTCTTACAATTCCATTTTGGCCCATACTTCTCAAATTTTGATGCTAGATGATGCACTCTGAAAATTTGTCATATTTTGGGTGTACTTTGTTTTTATTGTGGTAAAACATGGGTGGGTATAATCCAATATTCATTATTACTCATTACTGTGTTAAAACACTGAGTTATACTGTTCAATATTCATTGTTTCAACATTTTTAGTTGACATTTGTTTCATTGATCATGTTATATGGCCATTATCACTATACATTTCCATATTTCATCACTCTTAACAGAAACTAAGTATTTTCTAAGTATTTGTTTCCTTTTCTCACCTTCTTCTCACCTGTATCATTAACTGAGACTCTTTGGTCCGTATACATTCTCTTACTAAATAAGTTTCAAATAATTAGGATAATAAAGTATTTATATAGTTATAGCTAACTTATTTCACTTGGATTAACTTTTTCAAGAGTCATCCATTTGTAACATGCATTAAGATTTAATTTCCCTCTACATTTTGTTTATTCTTTTATCTGTTTATAGGCATTTAGATGGTTTCCCCCTTTTTCCTAGTGACTAGTACTGCAATGAACTTTGATATATAATAACTATTTGCTAGACGTATTGTGATGGGAAAGTCTGCTCTTAGGAACCTCTCCAAAGTACTGAAGAGCAATGGTGTCACTCTGGAGACTAAGGTGTGTCTGATATAGGCCATGGTCTTTGCAATCACTTGTTATGCATCAGGGAGTTAGACAATGACTAGAGAGTATAGAAGTAGTATTGATGCCTTTGAGCTGTGGTGCTGGAGAAAAGTATTGAATGTAGCATGGACTGCCAAGAAAACAAACAGATTCATCCTGGAAAGGGTTAAACCAGGCTGCTCCTTGGAGGCAAGGATTCTGGGACTTCATCTGACATGCTTTGGACATGTTATAAGGAGGGACTGGTCCTTAGGGAGGGACATCATGCGTGGGAGGGTGGAGGGACAGCGCAGGAGGGGAAGACCCTCTATGAGGTGAATTGACTCAGCGACTGGGGTAATCGGGATGGGTGTATTGGAGGCAATGTGATTGGCACAGGATAGAGTGGGGTTTAGGTCTGTTGTACTTAGGGTCGCTATGAGTGAAAAGCAACTCAGCGGCACATAACAACAACAACATCCTGCGTTAATTTCTTTTACTTGTATACCTAAGATTGGAATTATAAAGTCATATCATAATTTTATTTTTATGATAATTTCAGGAAAATCTTATACACAGCTAATATGCACCATCATGGACATTCTATTTGTGAAAATACATTCAAATATATTTGACCCATAATAAAAGATTAACTGTTTCGAATAGCAACATGATATAAACTTATAACATAGAGGTCCTAAAACTCATATGGGTGACAGATGGAATGTGTAACTTGAACATCTACACTAAGTTGTAAACAAATAAAAAAATTATGATTTCATTATGACATGAACTTCAATTTATCCCTGTTAGATACTCTGAGTTTGCATCCCTGAGTGTGAATCTTTGACATAAATCCTCTTTTTAATTTTTTTATTTCTTTACATATAATCATTCACATACATGGTATTTTGTATAAGCACTTTGTCTGTGTGTAACGTGTGTTTGATACAATTTTGTTTGAACAAATGTTTGTACCTATGTATATGTGTTTTATACAGTTATTCATATACATTATATTTTATATTATTCATTACCATTGCTTTATGATTGCTATTATCCATCTTTTCAAGCCCTCAGCAGTAGTAAAGTTCAATAAAACAGCAAACAATAAGTGTTGAACATAAATCATCCTGATGGCATAACTGCTACCCAAGCAGATAAAAATGCACATTCATGTTTATTGTGACTTTGTTCACAACAGCAAAGAGTTGAAAACAACCCAAGTGTCCATCAGCTAATGAATGGATAGAGAAACTGTGGTATATTCACACAATGGAATACTATGTTGCATTGAAAAACAAGGAATTCATGAAATATACAAAATGGGGGACTCTGGAAGACATTATACTAGTGAAATATCTCAGTCATAAAGGACATATACTGCAAAGTGCCACTATTTTAAAAAGGAACTGACGTCGGGCTTGGAGGAAATTTAAGATAAGAGGGGATAGATAATATATACTGCATTGAAACTGATGAGGGAGAGAACTGTTTAAAAGAAATATATCATTAGGTATTATTTGCATGACAAGAGTTCAGAATAAGAGCTGCATAGTAACGTTGACTTGAAGTGGGGAAGAATTGTATAACAATGAAAGAATTATTTTTTTCCTTCAAAGAGAAAAATGAACTGGCAGGAGGGGTGGGTAGGGAGAAAAGTGAACAATATGTGAATGGAAATCCAAAATCTCTGTAAATTTTCATTGTTTTTGTTGTTACGTGCTGTTGAGTCACTTGTGACTCGTAGTGACCCTATGTACAACAGCCTTAAACCCTATTCTATCCCTTCCCAATCTTATTGTCTCCGACACACCCATCCCAATTACCCCAGTCACTGAATCAATCCATCTCATCTAGGGTCTTCCTCTCCTGCGCTGTCCCTCCACTTTCCCAAGCATGACGTCCGTCTCCAAGGACTGGTTCCCTCTTACAATATGTCCAAACTATGTCAAATGAAGATTCAGAATCCATGCCTCCAAGGAGCAGCCTGGCTTCACCCTCTCCAAGACGAACTTGTTTATTCTCCTAGCAGTCCATGGTATATTCAATACTCTTCTCCAGCACCAAAGCTGAAAGGCATCAACTTTCCTTCTATCATCCCTAGTCATTGTACAGCTCTCTGATGCATAGCAAGTAATTGCAAAGTCCATGGCCTGTATCAGGCACACCTGAGTCTCCAGACTGGCATTGCTGCTCCTCAGTACCTTGGAAAGCTCTCTGACAGTAGACTTTCCCAATGCAATTCATCTTTTAATTTCCAAGCAAACTGAAGCTGTCAACAATCTCATCAATCTCTTCACCATCTATCATAATGCTACCATAATGCCCAGTGGTGAAAATCTTTGTTTTCTTGATACTGAGATTCAATCCATATTGAAGGCTGCAATCCTTGACCTGCAGCAAACGCTTCAGGTCCTCCTCAGTTTCAGCAAGCAGGGTTGTGTCACCTGCATAACTCAAGATTGTTGATGAGTCTACTTCCAATCCTGATGCCACACTTTTCCTCATAGAGCCTAGCCTCCCAGATAATCTGTTCTGCATATAGATTGAAAAGATGCCCAACAATGACACTTTGTACACTAATGTGCCTGCTTTGTTGATACTTTCCTACTGTAAAGCTTTCCATACACAGTGAATATGTTTGGTAAAAAAAAAAAAAAGAAAAGATGGAGATAGGACACATCCTTGACACACACCCTTCCCAATTTTGAACTATGCAGTGTTTCTTTGCTCTGTTCTGATGACTGCTTCCTGGTCCAAGTATAAGTTTTGCAAAAGCACAATCAAGTGTTCTGGGATGCCCATACTTCTCAAAGTCATCCACAGTTTGTTGTGATCCACATAGTCAAATGCCTTTGCATAGTCAATGAGACAGAGATAGACATTCCTCTCATATTCTCTGCATTCAGCCAAGAACCATCTGACATTAGCTATATCCCTAGTGCCACAGCCTCTTCTAAATCCAACCTACACTTCAGGCAGTTCTCCGATGATGTGCTAGTCATTTTTTAATGATCTTCAGCATAATTTTGCTTACATGTGGTATCAATGATATTGTTTGATAATTTCCACACTCATTAAAATTTAAAAAAATATATGGGAAAAAATTTTAAAAATATAATATATCAAGGGTTACTTTGATTTAACATTTTCATTCAGGGCAATAGGCTTCACGGTTAGTCTAGCCTTAAAGCCTTCTTGCTCCAGAAACTAATTTAAAAAGTCAGTTTTTGCTAATGGAGTTGGAGTCAGCACGTAACTAATCCTCCAGTGAGTTTTCAGAGGCTATAAATCGCCTAGAAGGAGATTATCGATCCTTCTCCTAAAAAGCCTTCTGGTGAATTAGTACTGCTAGAGAAGTGCCATCTTTGGGTTAACAATGTATCTTTCTAGAGAGTAGGCCACTAGAGTTTAGTCTATAAAAAATTTGAAAAAAAATCTATTAAGAATTGGAATTTCAAATGTCCACAGTGTGGACCTATTAAAACTGAAAGTTATCACAAATAATGGAACTTAAAAACACCAAGATCTTGAACATCCCTGAGCTAAGATGGACTAGTATTGACAACTTTAAATCAGAAAATCACATAATATACTATGCGAGAAATGACAAATTGAAGAAGATTTTTCCATTCATCATCAAAATGAGCATTTCCAACATCTAATCTGAAGTACAATACTGTTAATAATATGATGATCTCCACATGCATACAAGAAAATTTGTTGATACAACTATTATTAAAATATATTCAACAATCATAAGAGACAAAAATGAGCAAATCTGTAAACTT